AGCTGTATGCCATTCTTATGGTGTTATTAGATTTTCTGTCCTTAATATAGATACTCTCAGTATGCAGAAATAGTATTTTTACATATTGAAACCACTGAACTTATTCTAGATGTTTCAAAATTAACTTTCATATTTATTCAACCACAACAGATAAGCAGAAATAGAAATCATCCATTGTATATAACACATATCAGATCTAATATGGGTCTACCATGCCCTCTAGCACAAAGTAAAAATGAAATTGATCAGCTCTTAATAGGAAATGTACTAGAAGACTCAGAATTTTATAAACAATATCAGGGTAATAGGAAATATTTGGAGATTTTCCTATCACTTGGCAACAACCATTATAAGGAAATGTCTTACTTATCCTTTGTATAACAAAACTCCATTACCTGCAGGAAGTAACCCAAAAGGTACCAAAAGAAATAAAATTTGTCAAATGGATTTTTTTTTACTTTTCAGAGTTTAGAAAATTAAAATATGTGCACCATACTATAGACACATAAACAAGACTTCAATAGTCAACTGCTTTAAGTTCTGAAAAGGCAAATTCTGTTAATTACACATTTATTAGAACTTATAACTATTACAGGTGCTGCAAGCTGTAGAACTATGAAGTGAGAACTCAGCTGGCACTGACCAGACTAACCCATTAGAGCCAGGGGCTCTGGTGAAAGTTGAAACCAAAATACAAGATGTTTTTGTGATATTGGCTTTTGAATGTATTAGCTGTTTCCTGCAGTGAATTTCTTATGTGCTATTGTGGCCGTCCCATTTGATTCTTTTCCTGAGAACTTCTAACTGCATGATTGATCATTTATTGGGCCCAATTTCCCCTATATGTTTGGGGAACATGAATAGCTTCCCTTTAGTTATGTGTGAAAACAGTCACGCAAACAAAGATCCTTTTCCCACAGTCAGGTCTTTGTTCATCTTATTCCAGCATAGACTAGGAATCTGCTTTCCTGTAGTTATCTCTATTAGCAGGCATCTGGCCACTGCCATCTGTGGGAAAAAGTAATTCATTTGAGACACTTCTCAGACGTCCAAGGACAGACTGCAGATAGATGAGCACTAGTATGCCCTGAGCTCACCTCACCTACAGATAAGAGAAGCTAACCTCACTAACTTTAAATCCTTAATTCCTTGCTTTCACCTTGGCTTATTAACACAAGATCCTAACTTAAGAGTCTTGTGCTGGGAAAGGTTCCAACTTCCAAAGTCATCTTGCTCTAGCTACCCATGAGGGCAGACAACCCACAAATATTCAAGTACCCTTTGATTATGTCAAAATTAAGAACTACAGTTCTGCCAGGAGTGTCCTAGGGCCAAATTTGGTGAAGCTTGCACATAGTAACAAGTGCAGACTCTCTAGACAAACAATTCTTTAAGGTTTAAATAGTCTCAAAAGAATTTATGGCCCCAATGATAAACCCAAACATACCAAAGCCTTTTTTGAAACATTTCTCTCAAAGCAAGACACAGCAGCTTTACTATACATTTCGCTTAAAGGCAGGTAATAAGGCTTTACTTGCACATCACTATATCATCCCCCTTTCAGTTTTAGGCAGATCTGTTAGAGATACAAATATGTTGGAGATTATGAAGTTGTATAATAAATGAGGTCTTCTGTCTATCTAGATGTCAAACAGTTTTATGCAAATAAATCAGCATACATTTCAAAGCCAGTAAAGATAACACAACAAAGAAAGGAACTTAGGAATGTTTCATGGGATTAAATGAAGGTACAACATCTGCAAGATGTTCTACAACACTCATCCCTGTTACATCAGGCAGCTTCTTGAAATGTTTCTGTAATTTCTTGCTTTTAATCATAAATCATTTGAGAAGAATTAGGATGACACAACAAATGCATTTTAACTTTTTCTCCAATCATGGTTGCTGGCATTGAATCTTAAAGGCGCAATACAATAAGAAGTAACATACCAATCACATTTCAATTTCACCTGCTCTCTCAATAATTCTAACTGATCTACAATGATTGTTAGAGCTTGTCTCAATTAAGATGTTTCATCTACTGTTTACCTATCTACCTTAATTTGTTGAATCTAAAGTTCATGAGATTGTATATATCAGTTGTTAACAAATATAGCAGTTTGAACTTCTTCATGAAGAGCAACTCCAGCTATGGTAGGAGTCAGATTAATGTGATGATTCCAAAGACAGTAGCAATTATCAATCCCAGCCTCCATCATCTTCTTAATATGTTTTCATCAAGCTTCTGTACTAACATCATCACAGGTGAGTCTTGCCATTGTCTTGACAACATCATTCATATCTAGACTGCTGGTCTCCCTTTGAGAATATATAAGCTTTCAAAACATCAAAGGACATACTAGTATTGGCACAGGATGAAGAATACATTGTATACAAGTGATGATATAACTATTAGGGTGCCATTGCACAGGTCCTTTCAGCAACAGAAAAGGTAATGGAACATAAGCCATAAAGGTGTGAATTTGATTTAAATTAGAGGACAAATGAAATTTGTCATTATTAAAGTTTGACTTTCCATTCCATGCTTTAAGTGGGTAAAAGGCACTTAATTTCCACAAATTAATCTGAATAGAATTAACAAATTGTAATAGAGGGTTTGACATTCTAACTTCATGCCACTCAACAGGGTCTCTAAAAGCAAAGACAACTTCCATAGTTTTAGGTGAATTGGACCATTATTCTACCTACAATAATTGAGAACATAGTCCTCAAGGGGAGCCATAAGGACTCCAATCAATGATTTCTCCTTGAGAGAATTAACAAGCACCTGAGGATTCTCATCTATAAATTACTGCCAATATATTACTAACAGGTAATCCATAATTTGCAAGATGGTAACTTTATGGAACTAGTGGCATTAATAGTTTACCATACCTACTCCAACAAAGCCATACCTACCTCCTAATCCCTCTCAAGTACCACTACTACCTAATGACTAAGAATTCAAATATATAAGCCTATGGAGGCCATTGGTATATAAACAACCACAGAACCTGAAGACTTTTCATTGCACTAAAAAAAAGTTCTATGCCACATCAACATTTTATTTTATCTATCATCAAATTCTTCACAAAATACAGCTGATTAGCTAAAAGCTATAACTAATACATGGAAACTAAAAGTAGAAAAGTAAGAAAATATCTGCATATGAGAAAAGTTATCTTTTTCAGAAGTTAAGCTATAAATATTATTTTTAAAGAAAAACAAAGTGGGATTTTTTGCTAAGTAAAATAAATGGTTTTTCTACCAATTGAAGGAGAAAAATAGAAGAAAGAAACTAAACAGCTATAAGAACACCAGGCATGTTTATAAAGGAGGGTTTTTCCTTGTTCTGTTTTTTTGAAGACAGGGTATTTCTATGGAGACACACAGGCTTTTACTCCTTATCTGTTTATCTCCACCTCAGGAGTGGAGAGATTGTAAGAGGACAAAACCATGATGAGAAAAATGTAGGGATGTAACAGGGAAATTACACTTGCGATTAATCTTCATCAGACTTCAGTAGATTTATTCATTCGTTAAAATGATGATTCCTAACATCAGAAAATATTGCCAACAAGAAGATATCTGCTAAAATAGTATGTGTTCTTGGATAAAATGTATTCTTAAAAAGAATAAGCTTATAGATTCAAAACCAAGATGATGGATACTGTATTTCATACACATGGTACCTTATGCTTTGTGTTTTCCTAAATTAAATCCTTAAGTGTAAAAGTGAAACTTCTCAAAATTGACATAGCTAGAGATTTCAATAGTTTATAACTTCATGGGTTTACCCTTAATATTTTATAACTCGAGTATTGCTTTATGGTGAGCTGTGATTTTTGTACCTCATAGGTTTTGTTAAATATCTGTTTATGTTATTTCATACATAGGAGTGTTTGCGTAAATGTGTATGAGCACCACATGGACTTAGTGCCTACAGAGGCCAGAACAGGGCAACAAATTCCCTGGAAGTGGAGTTACAGTCAGCTGTGCACTGCAGTGTGGGTACTAGGAACCAAACATGTATCCTCTGCAAGAGCAGCAAGTATGTTTAACTATCTTCAAAATTCTTACTCAACATGTTTTAAAATTCTGATAACTTTAACATCTCCATAAAATAAAGTTCTAATTGTTATTGTACTAAATTTCATAATAAGAAATGCCCCCAAGACTCTTGGAAAATCACTGGAATATCTCTCTGTTTTAAATAGATATCTATGTTAAACTGGTTATGTTATATATCATATCAAATTTGCTGGAGTAAAAGGAAATGCTGTTTAACCATTTGTGAGTTAGGGTAAAATAAGGCAATAGCGGGTTTTGCAGATTTTTATGATTCCTAAGAACCAGGTTTGCAACATTACAGTATTATCATGTGTATTTACTTGCAATTATACTAGGAGTCCTCTGCAAGAAAAAAAATTGTAGGCCTCAAAATCATATCTGAAGGACTTAAAATATTTTATCTTTTAAAATCTATCATATTGCTTACTTTATGGAATCCATGTAGGCTTTAATAAAAATTCTGGCGATACTTTGCAAGACGACATTTTTTGTGACCATGAAAGGGGAAAGAGTGTAGTATATTACAGGAAAATAATGTGGAAAAGCACATTAATAACCCAGGAAAATGCAATCAACTATTTAGGAAGTATTAAGAATTTCTGTTTCTAAACTTTCCTTACAATTATTCTGTATTTTCTGTTTCTCTAAAGTACAAGAATATCAGTTAAAGATTTATGATATACATAATATATATGTGTATATATCTACATAGTGTGTGACTATACAAATTATGTTTGTCTTAGAAGATAATCAATTTTAGGCAAAATGGATTTTTTCATCTGACAACTGGTTTGTGGACACAGGAAGATAGAAAGGTAGACACATCCATGACATAGGGTTCTGGGTGCTCACAAATTATGTCTAAGGTAGTCGACTTCCATACTAACTTACATTTATAAATAGAGACAAGAGTCAGAAATTGCATGCTTGTGATTTTATTGGTATTATGAAGATAAATTATGGCCATGTTATTCCAGTTGCACTGTCCAGCAAGGCCATTATCTTACCATTCATTTTCTGAAAGAAACAAACACAAACACAAAAGGAAGTTATAGGGAATGTAAAATAAGATCAAGTTTCTCATCCTTTTCTGACATCTGTAAATGATGTGGTTAGAAGTCCAGGTCTTTTTTCTCTGTCTCTACTTTTTCTCCCTCCCCATTCTGTTTCTCTTTACTCATTATTGCTAATCACCTAGGACATAATGTATTCTGAATTGGGGCTGATAAAATGAAGAAAATATATTTTATTGGTCATATGGCTTTAGCATGAATACAATTCATCTTAAACTGGTGATTAGGACATATGGCTATAATCACTGCATTTTGGAGTAGAGGGAAGATGTTCAGGGACTCAAGGTCATACTTGGCCACACAGGAAGTTTGAAGCCAGCATGATCTATATGAACAATATCTCAAAAATTCATTACAAATCATAAGACATATTTAGAAAGATGGTTACAAAGGCACATCTTATACTAGTGAAACACAGGAACCAGCTTGAAAGACCACTGACCAGATTTTAGGTAATCAATGACAGCAGGAGCCACAGAATGTGATCATTCACTACTACAAAAAACAAAGCACCAAAAATGTCAACAGAAGTATGGTATCACTTTGAAATACTGTGGCTGTTTTAAAACACAATTTTAATTAATATGTGTAATGTGCTGTGGTGGTATTGTGTTCCCCACAATATTGTGCACCCTAATAAACTTATCTGGGGTCAGAGACAGAACAGCCACTAGATACAAAGGCTAGAGAATGGTGGCACACACACCTTTAATCCTAGCATTCCAGAGGTAAAAATCCCTCTGGATCTCTGTGAGCTCAAGGCCACATTGGACACAGCCAGGCACGTTGACACACGCCTTTAATCCCAGAAAGTGAGCCTTTAATCCCAGGGAGTGATGGTAGAAAGGAAAGATATATAAGGCGTGAAGACCAGAAACAAGAAGCATTTGGCTGGTTAAGCTTTTAGCTGGTTAAGCTTCAGGCTTTCGAGCAGCAGTTTAGCTGAGAGTCACTGGGATGAGGACACAGGAGCATCGAGTCTGAGGATAAAAGACCAGCTGAGAAGTTGGCCAGGTGAGGTTAGTTGTGGCTTGTTCTGTCTCTCTGATCTTCCAGAATTCACCCCAATACCTGGTCTGGGTTTGATCTTATTAATAAGAACTTTTTAAGATTCATGCTACAATGTGCAGATATGAAAATAATAGAAAATGTGTGTGTGTGTGTGTGTGTGTGTGTGTGTGTGTGTGTGTGTGTGTGTGTATTCCTAATAGCCTATTGAAAGAGTTAGTGGTAGCCTTTGATGATGAGGTGGTGAGAAGGGATGATAACATATACTTTTAAGATTTAACTTGACGCTTTTATTTCTAGTTTGGTGTTTCTTTTTTCTATTTTGGTCATGTGCTAAAATGAATCAATTCTAAAAATGCAGATAACATTTAACAGCACTGCCTTAAGGTCCCATGTACCAGAGAAGCAGTGAATGATCAAATAGAACTGTAAAAGGTAGTGTTGCTATAATGAGAAAGGAGGCAGCAGGATTTAGGGAGAACATTGTACTTCTTGCACAAACAATGGACAATCACATTGTCAATCATGTATAGTCATTGCTCCTCACAATTACAATATGTTGAGGAGAATATAAAAACATAAATCATCTTCCTATACCACCACAGGATATCCAAATAGTAATGAGAACCCAAACTATGGAATACAAATGTGTTTAAAGTTGAGTTATTGCAGCTTATACTTACAAAACTGTAGGAATTATGATGTTTCATGAAGAGTAAATACCGATCATACCTGACAATGTATCTTTGATTACTGAGGACGCTGGCCCTGGGAAGGTCCTTGAGGTCTGCCTCCCTGTTGGGCTGGACCTTGCTGGTTTCCAGGCTGAGGGCCTTGGTTCTGCTGTGGTCTTCCTTGATGGGGTGGGCCTTGCTGGTTTCCAGGCTGAGGGCCTTGGTTCTGCTGTGGGCCCCCTTGTTGGGCTGGACCTTGCTGGTTTCCAGGCTGAGGGCCTTGGTTCTGCTGTGGGCCTCCTTGTTGGGCTGGACCTTGCTGGTTTCCAGGCTGTGGGCCTTGGTTCTGCTGTGGTCCTCCCTGTTGGGCTGGACCTTGCTGGTTTCCACGCTGAGGGCCTTGGTTCTGCTGTGGGCCTCCCTGTTGGGGTGGGCCTTGCTGGTTTCCAGGCTGAGGGCCTTGGTTCTGCTGTGGGCCTCCCTGCTGGGGTGGGCCTTGATGGTTTCCTGGCTGAGGAGGCCGGTTCTGTTGCTGACCTTGCTGGGGTGGGCCTTGATGAGAACCAAAACCTTGCTTGGGAGGGGGTCCTTGGGGGAATCCTGAAACAAGTGATTTGTGATTAGGACTTTGATATATATTTTCAAGTTCTTTATTGGTACATCACAAGAAGAGGTAAGTTTAATAATAAAACAAATGCCCTCTTACAAGTATTAACTCAATGGCTGTTAGGTAGTACTTGTTATTCATTTCTCAATCACCCTCATTATAACTTCTATCTAGTTTTTATGGAAATTTTCTCTTAATTCAAACATTGTATCTTGATGCTTGGAACTAGCAACTGAGGTCTCAGACAACCGATTTTCTAGGCGTTGTCTCCATGGACCAGAGAAAAGCAAAGGGATAGAATTTTCAAATTACTGATTTTGGCTATCCTACCCAGAAATGTCCCTATACTCTTTCTGTCTTTCTTCTGTTCTACATTCACTGAAGCAAGATGCCTGTTATCCACTGACTACTTTGTTGCAGTGTATTCACAGCTGGACTTCCTTCTGTGAGCCTTCCTGTTTGACACTTCACAACACAGAGAGGTGAATCTAGAAATCCAGCCCCACTTTATCAACCTTCTGTTCAAACATTTAATCAAGTTTCTATTACACATGACAACATCTAAATCCTTGGTGTGGAATGAGGATTCAAATTCACTGTTGGTACTGATTCTACAGTCCTGCATTTCTGCTAATGCTCTTCTCTATCTCTGCATCTTCCAGGAGCGATGTGATCTGTTACCCACAAGCAGATTCACTGAACAAACAGCCATGTTTTCTTACCTTCACTGAAGCGCTGAGTAGAGCTCAGGGCCAGCAAGGCCACTGTGCATAGGACAACCAGCATCTTGGAGGAGGCTCTGGAGTTTCTTCCAAGTCTGTGCTGCATGCCTTGGGGTAGCTGCCTTTATAAGACACAGAAGAAAAATGCCTTTGATACTCATACTGGGTGACCTCACATTTGACAAAGGAGGATGCATTGCATCCTTGACTCCTCTTTGGGATTTCAGCCAGGAAGCCTTATATGAAGCATTGCCAGTGTGATTTGGACTAAGAGTTGATAAAGTGAAATATCATGCCAATCCCTATTTTAGAGTTTTGGCATTACATGAATTTCATTACATTTGACAGGCAGTTTATACATATGCATATGTTTGTACTCACTGATATTTTGGCAACCATGAAAATGCCTAATATCTTTAACTCTCATTTTCAACCATAGACCATCTGTAGACATACTGTAACTGTGTGTGTGACATTCTGATGTTTTCATAATTTAGAGGTCATTTTTGTTTGGATAAGATGCATTTCCTGCATCCTTATCTGAATCATGTCCACAAAGACTGTCCAAAATTCCAAATTTGTTGTTTCAAAATGGGGAAAACTTGGAGCTTTACATTACCTAAAATATTCTGTTTTCTCTGTGTGTGAGTGAGTGTACATATGTTTGTTTGTGTGTGTGTGTGTGTGTGTGTGTGTGTGTGTGTGTGTGTGTGTGTGTGTGTTTGTGTACGTGTGTGTGCATTTCTTTACATTCATGGTAAAGCATGGACAGAGGGCAACTTTGGCTATTGATACTCAGATGCTACTTTCTACCTTGTTCTTAGGATAAAATATGGCAATGATCTGAAAATATCATGTTGAGAAACTAGTTGGCTTGCAAGCCTCCAGACCTAAGGGTATCTCCATCTCCCAAATCATAATTGCTGGGACTTAGGAATGTGTCCTCTCACCTGGCTCTTTACTTGGATTCAGGGGGATTAGAACTTGGTTTCTTATGCTCAAGAGGAAAGATCTTTAGTGACTGAGCCATTTCCTCAGCCCCAAACATTCTATCCCTGTTAACAAAAATGGCACAAAAAGTGCCATGGAATTTCTGCAAAACTGTAAGACAAATACACAATTTCTTGACAAGTCCATGCTATTTCCTGTTTCTGAGATTTCCATAGCCAAATCCCTTTCTAGAAGGTTTCCTAACACTGGGCTTATACCTTCTCACTTTTAGGAAATGTTCTCAATCACTACCCGTAAGCAATGGTTGGCCATGGGTATACAATAAAATTAAACAATTGGCTATCACCTGCAAATTTCAATCATATTGTATTTATTCTCCTACTTGTAGTCTGATCCTATTCTGTTTACTTAGAATGGTCTTCAACCCAGAATATTTTCTCTGCTACATGATACTAATTCATCTCCAACCTCGGTCTTAATCCAAACTGCTGTTCTTAGAAGTTGTTGAATATTTTCCCTGTGTCATTTCTTACTGTGTAACTTGCTTTTTTTTCAGACATTACAGGATAATTTCTAAAACACCCCAAATCATTATCCATTATATTCTTCAACATATTGCTCTATTTTTTATTTAAAATTTAGTTACAATATGACATCACATTTCCATCCAGCTGTCTTAGTTTGCTCCCTTTTACTGTGTATCTCTTCTGTCATATCTGATAATAGGCAGTTCTTCTACATCATCAAAGACAGAGTTACTAGCCTAGGCAGCTGTTCTTTGAACATCATACTTCTATAAAATTTTGTTATTGCTAATTTTAGTACAAAATTACTTTCAATTTTTCTGTATTGTTTCATTGAGGTACCTTATGGTGGTGGACCATGGGACTGGAAAATCAAAGACAAGCTCCTTCTTGACTGAAGATATGTGTCTTCTCTACTACACATTTAATTTTCTGCTGTTTTTCCTTTCCTGGGATTTCAGGAAGTTTTTGTCAGTAGGGTCTTTACAGGCAGGGTTGCCTTAGAAGGGAATAGATTAGGAGTTGGAAATTCTCCCTGGCTACATGGAAATCTGATAAGCTCTTGGCATTTTGCTTGATTGGATATAGGGTATAGTTACTTGATACTGGAAGACTCCTCAGTTTATTATCATAACTGTCTCTAATTCTGCAGACCCTGTAGAGGCAGAGTACCAGGACATGAGTCACCCACATGCTTACTTATAGTTAACCTTTAATGTAAGATGAAAGGAGCAGAAGGAGGGCCAAGCACACCTGTGAGTGGGTAAGAAAGTGACAGACAGGGAAAAGTCATCTTTGCCTTATACTAATTACACTACATGTCACACAATTGGTACCATTTCCCTGACCCTTTTCAGTATCAGTGAAGTGTGAAAGGGATTAATACACCACAAAAGAAAAATATTAGCCATGAACAGAGGTGATGGAAGACTTAAGAGCAAACAGTATCTCTTGAAAGAGGCTCTGTGAAGCCTTGAGTAAGAATGTAGCAAGCTCCAAGGTAAACGATTTTTGAGGAAGTCCTTAGGTACACACTGGTCTTATAATATGGACTCAGCAACTAGTATACATCCAATAATTATTGATATCTATACATGAAAAATTCTGATCTTCATGTTAGTTCAGTGACTCCCAAAATAATTTACAGTCCAGGCCATCACACACAGCAGGTTTGGAGACTACAAGGTAAACAAAAAGGTGGAAGCTGGATCAATGCTTTCTCCATGTCTTCCAGTGGTTAGCCACAATGATTTTTTTTCACATTGTGCAGATCCTTCAGTAGGTTTACCCTGTGGGTCCGTATGTTCTCTATTTCTTTTGTTAAATTTTTGGTTTAACATTTTTGAAAATTTCATACACAAATACTGTTTTTACATCATTTCTGTAAGTTCTTTCCTTATAGGAATACAAGTCAGGCCTTATCTCGTGTCCCTCAACACATGCTGATGCAATTATCCTAACACATTCCCATATGACTTTGTCCACTGCCACCAGAGGCTCTGATTCCTGGAACCAAAGAGTGGAGACAGGTCACCTTCAATTAAGAGGGCTGTATTCTGTCCATGGACCAAGAAACCATAGAAACTACAAGTGTCCTGTGTTTATACAGTGGAGGAATCCTGTAAACAAAGTGGTTTTGGTCTCTCCAGATGCTCTTCAATTCCCAGCCCCACAACCAACTTCTGGCTAATAATCATTGGTCTGATAGATGCTGCCTGAATTGTATCTATGCCCCATCAGTGCTTTCTCAATTGGAAAATGTGACAGAACACAAAATGAACAGATTTCTTTGAACTGGGTTGGATGTGAATTAACTCTTAACTGAATCCACTAAGAGGAAAATTCAGACAGCAAACAAGTTGATTTTATCAAATTAATTTCTTGAGAATGTCTGCTTTACAAAGAGGAAAACTTGTCCTTGAAGGCTCCTCGGAGAAGAAGCTCCCACATAAAAAACTCAGTATTGATTAGGGTGAATAATTTGATACAGTTCAAATTTAGTAAACTCCTGTCAAAAGGGAGACAGACAGTAGAGAACTGGCAAAGATGCTCCAGAGCCAAACGACCTACTTTCACCAGGAAGTTCTTTGCAACGGAGCCTGTCGTCTCCACCTGAGAGATCTCCAGATACAAAAAGGCCTCTCCATAGTGACCGTGTTACTGCATTGTACCCCACTTCTGGGACAGCCTACCTCAGTCTGAAATCACCAAGGCATTTGGGAGAAAGTTGCTGCACTGTCTTCACCATCATGAGACAATATCTGCAACGAACCAGAACGAAAAAGGAAAACTGCTTTTCAGAAACAAACTCTAATCCTCACACATTTCCCAAATTATTTGCCCTTGTTTGAAGAACTCTATATTCAAAACTCTCCCATCTGGAATTGGGATTTTCAGCCTTTTACAGAACAAGCCAGCTGAGAATCTAGTGATCAGTTTGCCTCCTCAGGCTGAGCCCCTGTCCTATAATTCAAACTCTACTGCATCATGCAACCCTGTGGAGGGAAAGCTAGTCCTGACTGCCAATGTCTTCTGGCCAGGAGAAAAGATGGAAGTGAACGATGTCATGTACCCAGAGGAGGCCATGAGACCCTGAGTGACTAGAAATAATTCTGTGAAATTGATCTGCCAGTCATTTCCAACACCAGAAACCTTACAGTCATCACACACACACACACACACACACACACACACACACACACACACACACAAACACACACCCCTCTACCTAGGGGAGATACTTTCAGCAATTCTAAGGAATGCAGTTTCCACAACAGCAAGTTCACTGATACCTAAGGAAAGGATGACAACTGGTACAGACTTGAAGAATCTGGGGTTGTTGATAATTCTGTTTACCCCCCACAGATTCCACAGTGCATAACTACTGTTTTAGTGACTCTTCACACATGTTGTGGCTCTCATATTTGACTTTGCTATGTGGGCCCTGAGTTCCTGGAGAGCATTTCTCAGGGCAGAAAAGTGTCAGTCTGAAACAGATTTGAAACAGAATCAACATTTTTTTTTTTTAGTGGAGGAATACAGGGGCACTACATATGTATGAATCTGGGGAATCCTTGTCATAACGAGTATGGATTCTTTTCCATTTCTAGTACATTAAAGTATATCAACTATGTGTGTGTGTAAACATTGCCTTCTTTACCTCCAGGTTACGTTTGTTCCAGGGAAATTAAAGTCTCACCAATTGTTTCTCTCTGTACTTTAACACTGGCATTGCTTTATTGGTACAAGGTTACAACACACTGTAATCTGCTCTACAATCTCATTCACTAACCCATCTTCAGACACCAGCTTAGCACTTCCATTTACTTCCTATTTACACCACAGAAAGGAGTGGGACCTCTCTCACCTCAATGGCAGCCTTATATTTATTTGGTGGGAAAACCACCTAATACAAACGAATACAGAAAAGCCATCTGAACAGTCTTGACATTAATTTTTATGAGGCAAATTTATAAGTGGATCTTTTCTAAATGCTGAAGTTTTGATATATATTTTCTATTGGCATAAAGTGTAATGGGTTTACTGAGATTCATAAAGAGCACGTATCACACATAATCTGCCTGATTAATTAATGTGTTATATATACTGTTACAAAATAGTTTCATATACTGAAAAGTTAAATAAAATGGAATACAAGTCAGCTT